TTCATGACCCAACTAGGGAACATCATCAGTGCTAGAAGGGAGTGGGGTTTTGCAAAGAGGAGGAGGAGGAGGAGGAGAAGGAGAAACAGGAAACGGAGAAGAGGAAAAAAGAACAAGGAGACAAGGAGGAGAATGATGACTGTGGGGTCCTGGATGATCTCTGAGCTTGATGGTTTTCTTGCAGATGTTTCATGATCAACTGTGTAACATTCATCAGTGCTAGAAAGGAGTGGGAGTTGCAGAGAGGGAGGAAGAGGAGAAGGAAGAGCACAAGGTCCATTGGTTGAAGAAACTGTTCCTCTCCATAAGTTTCATCCAACGTTTTTCTCCCAGAACAACCACGAACGAAAGGAAGATGAGAAGGCGAGAAAGAAGCCCCTTCTTTGGGGCAGCCCCTCAAATACTGGAACCCTGCTATCATGTCTCCCCTAGTCCTTCTTTTCTCTAGACTGGCCAAACCCAAATCCTGCAACCGTTCTTCCTATATTTTGGTCTCTAGGCCTTTCATCATTTCATAGTTGCTCTTCTCTGCCCTTTTTCCAAAGTCTCCACATCTTTTTTTTTTTGTAACGGGGTGACCAAAACTGGATGCAGCATTCCAGCTGTGGCCTTACTCGATTATATTCCTGAGCCAGTTGCTTACTAAGCCAAGATACGTACGTAAACAAAATTCATCCTTTCGGGGATTAGCAGAGAATCCGCTGGGATGGAATTGCAGCAGCCGTGCTCCGAACACCAGAGTGACATCTTCTTGCACACTTCCTCGGTTAATTCAAAGCGTACGTAGTATTCCTTGGGAGAAAAAAAACCAGAAGTGTTTAGCCAGCTTGGAAACCGAGAGGCTCCTTTCTGAGCGCTGGAATACAGGTAGTCCTCGACTTATGACCACAATTGAGCCCAAAATTTCTGTCGCTAAGCGAGACATTGGTTAATTGAGCTTTGCCCCCGTTTTACCACCTTCCTTGCCACAGTTGTTAAGTGAATCACTGCCGTCGTTAAGTTAGGAACACGGTTGTTAAGCGAATCTGGCTTCCTTGTTGACTTGGCTGGTCAGAAGGTTGCAAAAGGGGATCACATGACCCCGGTCATAAATATGAGTCAGTCGCCAAAAGTCTGAATTTTGATCGTGTGACCATGGGGTTGCCGGAATAGTTGTAAATGTCCCATTTCAAGTCATAAGTCATATTTTTCAGTGCCGTTGTAACTTTGAACGGTCACTGAACGAAATGGTCATAAGTCAAGGACTGCCTGCATTGTGAATGGCTTTAACTCACCTTGGTGACTTTTAGGATATCGGCAAGAAATCTGGACATGACGAGACGCTTCTTGGCTCGAGTAACAGCGACGTACAGCAAATTCCACTCATCTTCCGGAATGGCTTCTGGGAGAGCTTAAGAAAAAGAGGGAAGGAGGGAAAAAATGGGAGTTTAATGGGAATTCTTCGAACGGATCTGCTTCAAACACACATCTGAACTCTTGAGCACCGAGTGGTGCTCCATCCCAGCCACCAAGAAAGGGATGTGTTCCATTGTTAATCAACAATTAGACATTGCTATCAGGGCTTCCCTAAAAAGAAGAGAAGGGGAGGGAGGGAGGGAATGGATGGATGGAAGGAAGGAAGGAAGGAAGGAAGGAAGGAAGGAAGGAAGGAAGGAAGGAAAGAAGGAAGGAAGGAAGGGGAAATAAAGGGGAAAAGAAAATAGAGGGAGGGAGGGTGAAATGAACAAAGGAAGGAAAGAAGGAGAAGGGAGGGAAGAGAGGGAAGGGAGAGAGGAAGGGAAGGAACAGGGGAAGGAAGGAAGGGGAAGAAGAAAAAAGGAAGGGAGGGAGGAAGGTAAGAAGAAGTGGAAAGGATGGCACTTAGCCCCAGCAAGGCTGGCTAAAATGTACCCAAACCTAAGCCCAAAGTGCTGGAGATGTAACCAGTACCAAGGTACTTTCTTTCATGTCTGGTGACTATGTCCTGAAGCGAAAAAGTACTGGACCAAGATACAAGGTTGGCTGCAAGACCTAATAAATTGTCAAACTGAGCTAAATCCGGAAACATTTCTCCTGGGAATATCAAAAACTAAATTTGATTAAAAAAAATTAAAATCTAATCCTACATATATTAACAGCGGCAAGAATTGCGTTCAAGCAATATTGGAAGGAACGCAATTTACCACCAGAAGGACTGATCATCCAGAAAATATATGAATGTGCCGAAATGAAGATACTTATTACCCTAAAATTAAAAGAAAAAGATGATTCGGAATACTATGAAGTTTGGGGAAAATGGTACAGGTGGATAGACAATAGAAATAAAAATAGGTAATATACACAAGGAAGTTGAGGATTTGACATTAAATGTATAAATATGTATATGTATATATTACATGAATTGTTAATCCAAAGAATACAAAAGAGCCTTGGTGGCACAGCAGACTAAAGCGCTGTTAAGTAGCACCAGCTGCCTGCAATTACTGCAAGTTCAAATCTCACCAGGCTCAAGGTTGACTCAGCCTTCCGTCCTTTGAGGTAGGTAAAATGAGGACCCGGATTGTGGGGGCCATAAACTGACTTTGTATAAAAAAGAACACCGCTTAGGGGTGCCCGAAAGCCCTACTAAGCAGGTATATACAAAAGTATGAAGGCTATTGCTTAAAACACTGTAAGCCGCCCTGAGTCTCCGGAGAAGGACAGCATATATATCGAACCAATAAATAAATAATAAATAAATAAAAATGACACTGTTTGACTATGTACTAGTGTTATGGAAAAGAAAAACTACAATAAAAATTACTTTTAAAAAAAAAAGAAGAAGGGGAAAGAAAGGGGAGAGAAAGATGGAGGGTGGGGGGGAGGGAGGGAAGAGGGAGAGGAAGGAAAGAGAAAGGGAAGGAAGGAAGAGGGGAACGGAGGGAGGAAAGAAGGTAGAAGATAGAAGGAGGTGAGGAAGGAAAGAAGGAACATGATATAGAAGAGGGGAGGAAGGAAAGAAGGTGGGAGGGAGGGAGGGGGAGGAAGGAACATGATAGAGATGGAAGGAAGGAAGGAAGGAAGGAAGGAAGGAAGGAAGGAAGGAAGGAAGGAAGGAAGGAAGGAAATTATACTCACCAGGTGGGTTCCGAGGAAACCTTCCAAGATAGGGCCATGTAAATGGGATGCTGACAAAGTCACCAGATATTTGGACGGTGTCAAATTCCAGCCCTTTGGCCTTGTGCACAGTCCCTAGGATGTAATCTAAAATACACCAAATTGTTGGAAATGCAATCATCAACATGGAACATATTTCCAAATGTGGTGGACATGTCCCAAAGCAAAGGCATATTGGTTAACAATCCAAAAATGGTTAGAGGAAATGACAGTGGGAAAAATTGCTATGAAACCCGAACTATTTCTATTGGGAATTATAAAAGAGAAGATTAGGAAAGAAATTTATTATCTTATATTTCACATAATTATGGCCGCCAGAATTTCATTTGCACAAAATTGGAAACACAGATTTGCTCCAGCAAATACGATGATCATAAAAAAGGTGCTAGAATGAGCAGAAGCATTAACAATGGATTGTTAATTAACAATGGAACTAAATTAACAATGGAACTAAAAGACCGAGAGGAAACAATCTATTACGAGACATGGAATAGATGATATAGCTGGTTGAAGAAAGAATCCAAAATTAATGTATAAATGTAAGAGAAGATATTAGAGAGGAGCGAAATAGTTATTGTGTAATAGATAGGTATAAATTGTAGTGAATATAGAAATTAGTAAGTAATATATAAATGTATGTGTATATAGTTGGTTAAAAGATAAAACAGACATTATCAAAGATGCCTGTTTCGGAAAGCTGTAAAAATGTAACAAGAATGTTAAAGATGTAAATGTCGAATAAAAATTATTTAATAAAATTATTTAATAAAATAAAATAAAATAAAATAAAATACAGAGAGAGGAGAAGCCGTGAGACCCGTAACAGCTCATTTCTAAAGCTTTTCACGAGCAGCAGAGATCTCAAAGAAAGGGGGGCCTGGAAGCCTTCTCCAGCCTGAAGCTCCACAGGTGCTCAGAGTAAGAATGGGTCCATTCCATTCCCACTTTACTCCAAAGCGACCTGGACAGAGATTCAGTGGCCCTTCTGCTCTCTGAGCTCTTGCAGACCTTTCACGACCCAACTAGGTGACATCATCAGTGATAGAAGGGAGTGTGGGTATTTTGACCCGGCTCCCCAAACACGACAAATCCTCTGTACTTGAAGCAATGATTCCTTTATTAGGAGCGCCAGTAGCTCCGGCAAAAACAAATTCTCTCTCACCGCAAGCTAACAAGTCCGTCCATCCGGGAGATGAATAATTGTCTGCCCCCTCTATTCATCTCCGCCCCCTGCCTTGTATCCCCAGAGCTACAGTGGGGCTTCACTAGCAGTGGTGGCTCTTCCGTCCCGAGGACCGGCCCATAGATTTCCACTGCTCTCCTCTCCTCTGCCTTCTGTGCATCTGTGTGTCAAGCACTGGACTCAGCTGTTCCTCCTCCTCCTCATCAGCCACTTCAGACCAGTTGGCTGGTGCGCGCACATGCGCGCTGGAGCTGAGCTAGGGCAACACTCGTTTGTCCACCAATATGTCTCCGCGTGCCCTCATGGTTATAGGCAGACAATAATAAAGTAGCTAGTTTGAATTCTATATATGTGGATCTGGTTGTTCACGCATGCTATTTACCTGCATCTTCTGGATGCCAAACATGGCACTGGCGTATCCTGTTTACCAGCTCCGGAATACGTTCCCGGTATTTCTCCACAATTCCAATTTTTATTTCCAGTTGTTTGTCTTCTGATTTTTCCGCATAGTCCTTGATGCTGGCCAAGCCCTTCTCAACCCACCTCTTGATGAAGAAATCCTTTACCTCGAGTTTCACTAGGAAGATCAAACAAGAGAATTTGTCTTTTGAAAAAGAGACAGCTGGACTTTCTGGTTTTTTTTTTTCTTTTGAAGACGTTTCGCTTCTCATCCGAGAAGCTTCTTCAGCTCTGACTGGACGGTGGGGAACGGAAAGATTTATATTCCTTGCAGACAGCTGGTCATTTGCATCCTTTTAGGGAGACGTTGAGGCCACTTGGAGGTTGATCTCTGACCTCCTTCCAACCTCCAAGTGGCCTCAACGACTCTCGGAGAGAGTGCTAATACCAGGTGAAATTATAAAGTTATTTATAAATTTTAAACCACTTCCTTGTGCTTCATGATAGAATGGGAATGGGAATGGGAATGGGAATGGGAATGGGAATGGGAATGGGAATGGGAATGGGAATGGGAATGGGAATGGGAATGGAAGAGAAGAGAAGAGAAGAGAAGAGAAGAGAAGAGAAGAGAAGAGAAGGGACCTGAAGTCAGGACTGGACAGAGGTTCAGTGGCCCTTCTGATCTCTGAGCTTGGTGATATTGTTGCAGACGTTTCATGACCCAACTAGGTGACATCATCAGTGCTAGAACCAAATGGGATTTGTGGAGGATGAGGAAGAGGATGAGGTCCTAGGTAGGGGTGAAATCTATTTACCTTCCCTACCGGTTCAGAAGTGTGCACTCACCTTGCACAAAGCCTTCTGCACATGCACAGAGGATCAAAAACAGGTTACTTCCTGGTTAAAACCAGGAAGTAACGACATCCAGGTGGGTGGGTGGACCCTCACGCTGCCGCCACCAGTTCTCCGAACCTGCCGCTATCGGTTCGCCCGAACCGGTAGCATTTCACCCCTGGTCCTGGGTGATCTTTGGGCTTGGGTGTTTTCTTGCAGACATTTCATGACCCAACTAGGGAACATCATCAGTTGAGCTCATACAGATGTTTTTTTCCTCCAAAGATCCCATTTGAATCCCAATTTTACCTGGCTTTAATGTTAGAAAGCAACCAGTCGGGTAGAGGCTCAAATGAGGAATTACCCTAAACCCGTGATGGCGAACCTGTGGCACGCGTGCCGCAAGTGGCACGCAGAGCCATGATGCCTGGCACGTGCAGCATCACCCATTCCTCTTCCGGGGCACGCATGCGCACCAGCCAGCTAGTCTGCTGGTTACTGCTGTGCATGGGCGTGCGATGATCAGCTGGCCTTCATATGTGCAGAAGTGGCCAGCTGAAGGCATGCTCTTAGCATGGGTGTGCAACGGCCATGCCGTCACCCACATGCAGCTCCGGGACATCCACCCCTTGCCAGCAAGGAGCACTGCTGCCAGTCGCTCCCTTGTGCCCGCCCTCCTGCTTGCCTTGTCACCGCCACCACCGCTGCGAGGAAAGGCCCTGAAGCTGCACTACCTGGGATCCACGTGGGCTGCCACAGGGGGAGACCAGGTATGACTGTACGCTGTCCGGAGTGCAAGGCTGGCAGGAGAAGGAGGCCCGGCTGCCTCTTAGCCAGTGCGAACGGCCTGCCGCCACCTTCTACCCTGCCAGCTGCTCCTGCCACTGCCAGGGAAGCGGCAACGCAAGAACCACCAATCCCCTCGCTCCTGGGCCGGAAAGCCCAGCACCCAGCACCCAGTGGGGAGGAGCCAAGGTAAGGCCGTGTGTTCAGAACTTCCCCAGCTGGGACATGGCACTGCTGAGGGGGCGGGGCCTAGAGTGCTGCTGCTGGCCGGGAAACAGCTGTCTTGCCAGAGAACAGTTCGGTATCTGATTGTCCTCCAGTAAGAGGTGCACTGGTCCCCTTGGAAAAAGTGGGCGTGCACACGCATGCGCTGTGCGGGATGCATGCATTGGGGGGTGTCATGTGTGCATGCACAAATGGGGTGTGCATTGCATTATGGGTGCTGGCACGTGCGATAGCGGGAGCGCGCTCGGACTATTGGCATACAACGCCAAAAAGGTTCGCCATCACTGGCCTAGACTCCCTATGTAAACACAAACCACGGAGGAAAGCCCAAAAAGGCTTTGGGCCTTATCTAATCTTGGCAGTCTGGAAAGATTCCTATACAGGTAGAACTCAACTTACGACCACACTTGAGCCTAAAAGTTCCATTGCTGAGCACAATAGCTGTTAAGTGAGGTCTGCCCCAATTTTATGACCATTTTACAGTCTTTCTTGTCACCGTTAAGTGAAACACTGCAGTTATTAAGTTAGCAACATGGTTGTTAGGCGGATCTGGCTTCCCCATTGACTTTGTCAGAAGGTCGCAAAAGTGACCGTGGGACACTTCAGCCGTCATAAATGTGAATCAGTTGCCAAGCGTCTGAATGTAAATCACGTGACCCCCCCCAAGGATGCTGCAATGGTCGTAAGTGTAAAAAAACAGTCATAAGTCACTTTTCTCAATGCCATTGTGACTTCGAACGGTCTGTAAACGAACTGTTGTAAGTCAAGGACTTCCTGTATTATAGGCAGACAATGATAAAGCAGATAGTTTGAATTCTATATATGTGGATCTGGTTGTTCGCATGTGATATTTACCTGCACTTTCAGGATCCGGGACATGGAATTGGTGCATGCTTCTCACTAGTTGCGGAACATCGTCGTAATTTCTCAAAATTCCTGTTGTTAGTTCCAGCTGTTTTTTTCGTGTTGCATCATATTCCTCAATGCTCCTGAAGCCCTTCTCTACATACTTCTTGATGAGGGTACTCTGGAGCTCCTTCATGAAGCTACTCTTGAGCTCGTAATTCTCTAGGAAGATCAAACAAGAGAGTTTTTTTCAAGAGGCAACTGGACTTTCTTGTTTTTTTTTCTTTTGAAGATGTTTCGCTTCTCATCCAAGAAGCTTCTTCGGTTCCGACTGGATGGTGGGGGAATGGGAGGATTTATATTCCTTGCAGACAGCTGGTTATTTGTGTCCTTTTAGAGAGTCGTTGAGGCCACTTGGAAGTTTATCTCTGCCCTCCTTCCAACCCCCAAGTGGCCTCAGTGACTCTCTAAAACAATGCAAATGACCAGCTGTCTGCAAGGAATTGTTGTGACCGAGGCCCAAGTAGTGATTACCAAACACAATTCAGTTCTGAACAAACTTATTTTATTAAAACAGCTGAGAAATAATTCATTCTCAGCTTTAGTCCAAAACAAATTCTTCGGCCTTATCACCAACCTGATGTCTCTGGCAACCTGCCAAAAGCTTTTCTTGGCAAAAACACCCACAAAGTTCAAGAGATGCTGACAAGAAGCACTGGAATCAACGTTGCAAGGCAGGTAAAACAGCTCCACGCACCCCAATGGTACCGTGACAGCAGCCTGGCTGCTTCCCTTCCCCTCCGTCTCTTTGTCGAGGGGGTGGCAGGTGGGACAGGGGAGAAGCGAGACGCATGCAGCGTGATGGGGCTCCTCTCCCCGTCTCTTCTCCACCCCCTCGCCGGGCATGGCAGCGTGTCTCACATCTCCCCGGCCCGACCCCTCCCCACCTGCCACCCCCAAATTGCATCCAATTTAGGCAGGGGCAGGAAGCCCTGCCATACCCGGCAAGGGGGGGGGGGGGAGAAAAGAGACGGCAAGAGGAGTAAGCCCTGTCTCGCTCTATGCGTCTCGCTTCTCCCCCACCCCACCAGTGCTGTTTTAACTGTGAATGGTCGCTAAACGAATTGTAAGGTAAAGGCTACTCAGCTGAGGTAGATACTTCACACAACACTGTAAACCTGCAAACCTTAAATTATATTCGGGTTAGCCCAGGGGTGAAATGCCGCCGGTTCGGACCGGATCGCCTGATCCGGTAGTGATGGCGGCAGGTGGTTTGGAGAACATGTAGCAAAAATCCCTGCCCCCCCCCCCCTCCCCATGCCCAGTTGAGCTGCGCGATCTTCAGGGGCTTTTTTTTTACTTTTAAAAGCAATGTTTTTAAAAGTAAAAAAAATATTGTGTGCCACAGCTGATCGCCCCCCCTCGTGCGCTGTTCTACTTACCACATGCCTCCTTTTGGCATGCACTGCGCACCTCGCATTTGGTGCGTGGTGTGCACTGCGCATGCGCTGCCAGCAAACCGGTAGTAAACCGGTTCAGATTTCACCACTGGGTTAGCCCAAAGAGTCTTACATGTTTGGGGCCAGTGTGGGGCCCACACAAGATGGCTACTATAATGGGTGTAACCTGACTTTATAAATCATAGTTTACAGCAGAGGCCTTGAAACTTGGCAGCTTTAAGACTTGTGGATTTCAACTATGCTGGCTGGAGAATTCTGGGAATTGAAGTTCACAAGTCTTAAAGCTGCCAAGTTTGAAGATCTCTGGTTTACAGCTTAGCATGATGGCTGAACGGATCCAGCTGTAGCTTAGTCAACGAACTAGGATTAAGTCAATGTACGAATCAGGCAACTTGGTGTTGATATTAGGGTTGTTCATGTTATTGGCTGAGGGTTTGAGGGAAGGAAATCCCCTAAGATTGGAACATTTTTGAATTATTATTTATTTACTTATTTAACATACTGTATTTTTCAGAGTAAAAGATATAAGACGCACCTACCTTTTTTGGTGAGGAAAAGAAGAAAAAGAAATCTCCCTCTGCCTCTGAGCAATTTTGCCTCATTGCAGCAAACAGCCTGCTTTACTTTCAGTTTCGATTTCAGCATAGCTTGATTAGCACAAGGAAAAAAAAATCTGCTCCAGCAATTTTCTTCTTTGCAGCAAGCAGCAGAGGCCTGGGCAAAACAGCTGAGAGCCAGGAGGCCGATCCAAACAACTTGTGCTAATTAGACTGTGCTGAAGCTGAAAAGAGCTGTTTTTTCTTGCTGTTTGCTGCAAGGAGGTAAACTGCTGGGAGGCAGAGGCCAAAGGGTGGGGGCCAGTGGGTGGGTGGGGCTACATTCGGTTTATAAGACGCACCCAAATTTTCACCCCCTTTTAGAGGAGAAAAAGTTGCGTCTTATACTCCGAAAAATACGGTAAATTCATGCCAGTGGCCAAGCATCTGAATTTTGATCGTGGCAACCGATTCATATCTATGACGGTTGCAGTGCCTTGGGGTTACGTGACCTCCTTTTGCAACCTTCTGACAAGCCAGGTCAATGCGGAAGCCAGATTCACTTAACAACTGTCTTGATAACTGAACCATTGCACTGATTCACTTAACGACTGTGGCAAGAAAGATCGTTGTCATGTTGTCACCTGCAACCGGGTAGCCTTTACGTCCCTTTTTCAGTTACCTACAGTCACATTTTTGCTGAAAAGCTGCACTTCTTCCATCTTTTGAACCCTTGGTTCACTTAACCAGAGATCTCGCTTAAGCACCCCTGCCAAAAGGGTCATAAAATTGGGTTGGCCACATAACTGACCCATTTTATGACTTCACAGACATATGACCAGGCACTTCTTACAGCTTGGACACATACAAAAAAATAACCCAGTTGAGAGAACTCACGTTTAGAATGCAGGACATTATAGAGATCTTCAATTATATCCAGTCCAACAGTATTAATACCCTAATGAAAAAAAGACAACAATATCAAGATGAACCCTGTGAGATGGGTGTTGTAGTCCGATGCATAGTGATAATTATCTGTCTTTACTTTGGGGCTCCTTAATGCCCCCCATACAATAAGGTGCATCTGCAGAATTCCCTGGTTTAGCAAACACATGCCTCAACATAGCAGTCTTCCAATATCTGAGGAGCTGCCACAAAGAAGAGGGGAGTCAAATTATTCCCCAAAATACCAGAGGGCAGGCAAGAAGGAATGGATGGAAACTCATCAAGGAGAGAAGCAAATGAGGACCCAGATGGTTGGGGGCAGTGGTGGGATTCTGCCGGTTCTAGGGGGTTCGGCCGAACCGTTTGTTAAATTGCTGGCTCGCCCCACCCCTTGCCCCGCCCCTCCGCACCACTATTTATTGCCAACAAATAGTGGTGGGCGAGGGGCGAGCCAGCAATTTAACAAACGGTTCCGTGTTTTTTTGTAATTTTATTGGCCCGCGGAGCTTCAGCATAGGCTAATTAGCCCTTGATTAGATCGGCTCCCGACTCTCAGCTGATTTGCTCTCAGCTGTTTTGCTCAGGGCTCTGCTGCTTGCTGGAGCAGATTTTTTTCCCCCTAGCTATGCTGAAAAACGAAACGGAAAGTAACGAAAGTAAAGCAGGCTGTTGCTTGGCTTTGCTGTTGCTGTTGCGGCTGGACAGATTAGGCAGGCATTTCTTTTCTTTTTCCTCAAAAAAAAAGTGCAAATGGGAAATTTAGGAAAAAGAGGAGAGTTCAAGATTTTAAAACACAAAAGAAAAAAAGCTCTATTTAACTAGGGAAATTAGTAATTAATTGAGATACTTAATTGAAAGCAAAAAGAAATGTAGTTGGAGGAAGAAGGATAAATTTGGGGAATTATTGGTTTATTATATATTGGTAAATAATTAAAGATTTGTAAGAATGCATGGAAAATAAAATAAAAATATGTTCATATTGATTAATATACAAAAAAAGATTAGATTATAACTAATTGATTTATATTAAATAATGTTGACCATTTGTAAAATTAAACAACAGTACTATTACATAAAAAAAACTAGAGAGGATATGGAATAAAATATACAAATAGAAGGGGATATAAATTTGAATTTGAATTAATATTGATTAGGAGGGAATAGGGTAATTTTTTTTTATATAAATTAGGAATAAATAATATTTGAAAAGAAATATAAAATTGAAATTTATTGAAATGACTAAACACTTTAAATTTGTAGCCCGCCCAATATTCTGTTCAAAGAAAATACATTGTAATTTGTATGTGTGTTTCTTTCTTATTAATATTTATTTATATCATATTGTTCTCTTTTTTATTCTTTAAAGTTTAACAATTCATTTCTAATATCTTTATATATTTATATTGGGTTGGCTTTTCTTTTTTCATTCTTTTTATATTTAATATATTATAATTTCTTTCCTCAATCTACTTCTCTTCTTTCTCTTTTTTCTCCTCTCTCTTCTCCTTCTTCCTCTTTCTTCCTCTTCTCTTTCTCCTCTCTCTCTCTCCTCCTCTCTTACCCTCCTTCTCCTACTCTACTTTTCCCTTCCCTTCCCTTCATCCCTCTCTCTATTGCTGTATCCTTTTATGCATATGGACTACTCAGAGGGCTGAAAAAGTTATTTCTGACTGGTCCTCACACTTTTGACCAATCCTCGAACTTACGACTGTCCTCACATTTTACGTTTTTGCCCTATCTTGTCACCATGGTGAAGAGAAGCAGTTGTGAAATGAGTGACACGGTTGTTAAGAATGCTACAATGGGCATAAATGATGACCAGTCATAAGTGCGAAGACCGGTCAAAAGTGTGAGGACCGGTCAGAAATGACTTTTTTCAGCCCTCTGTAGTCTCTATGCAGATAGCCACCCCCACCAGGTCACATGACCAGCTAGCCACGCCCACCCAGTCACATGACCACCAAGCCACACCCCCAATTAAGCCACGCCCACAGAACCAGTTGTTAAAAAAATTGAATCCCACCACTGGTTGGCAGGGCCGAATTTAGATGAAAAGAGGCCCTAGGCTATTCCACTTATGAGGCCCTTTCACCAGTGGTGGGATTCAATTTTTTTAACAACAGGTTCTGTGGGCGTGGCTTAGTTGGGGGTGTGTGGCTTGGCAATCATGTGACTGGGTGGGCATGGCTAGCTGGTCACATGACTGTGTAGGCGTGGGTAGCTCGTCATGTGACCGGGGTGGGCGTGGCTATGTGCATAGACTTTTTTCAGAGGGCTGAAAAAAGTCATTTCTGACTGGGCCTCGCACTTTTGACCGGTCCTCAAACTTATGACCATCCTCACATTTATGCCCGTGCAGCTTTCTTAACAACCATGTCACTCATTTCACAACTGCTTCTCTTCACCATGGTGACAAGATAGGGCAAAAATGTAAAATGTGAGGACAGTCATAAGTTCGAGGACTGGTCAAAAGTGCGAGGACCAGTCAAAAATAACTTTTTCAGCCCTCTGAGTAGTCCATATGCATAAAAGGATACAGCAATAGAGAGGGATGAAGGAAGGGAAGGGAAATTAGAGTAGGAGGGAGGGGAAGAGAGGGAGGAAGAGAGGAGGAGAAGGAGAAAGGAAGAGGAAGTAGGGAGGAGAAGAAGAGGGGGAGGAAGAGAAAGTAAGAAGGAAAGAAAAGAGAGAGGTGATAGGTTTGAGGAGAAAGATTGCTGTACAATAAAAAAGATGAAAGGGAAAAAAGCCAACCCCAAACAAATATAAAGATATTAAGATAAAGAATGAATTGTTAAACTTTAAAGAATAAAAGAGAACAAATATGAATAAATAACAATAATTAGAAACACACATACAAACATACAATGTATTTTCTTTGAACAGAGTATTTGGCCGGCTCACAAATTTAAAGTGTTTAGTCATTTCAATTAAATTTACAATTTCTATATTTCCTTTTTGCCATATTTATTCCTCATCTATTTTTATAAAAAACCAATATTACCCTTCATCCTCATCTCTAATCTTAATCAAATTCAATTTTTCCCTTCTATATTATACCCCTTCCCATTGTCATCTATTTTTATATCCATCCTCACATAGGTTAATTATGTAATATTACAGTTGTTTAATACAAATTCAACATTTTAATATAAATCAATTAGTTATATAACTATCTTTTTTGTATATTAATCAATATGAACATGAATATTCCCATTATTTCCATGCAATCCAATTTCTTACAAATCCATTAATTATATTTACCAATAATAATAAACCAAATAATTTCCCCCATATATTCCTCCAAACCACAACTTAACCATTTCTGCTTTCAATACAATATACAATTAATAGTATCTCAATTATTACAATTCTCTAGTTAAATAGAGCTTTTTTTCTTTTGTGTTTTAAAATCCTGAACTCTCCTCTTTTTCCCTAAATTTCCCATTGTTTGCACCTACCTTTTTTGGTGAGGAAAAAGAAAAGAATTCTGCCTGCCTAATTTTCCAACCTTGCAGCAACAGCAAAGCAGTTTCAGTTTCGTTTCTCCGCATAGCTAGGGGAAAAAAAATCAGCACTCTTTGCAAGGAAGCAGAAGAGCCCTGAGCAAAACAGCTGAGACAAATCAGCTGAGAGCCGGGAGGCCAATTAGCCTATGCTGAAGCTCCGTGGGCCAATAAAATTACAAAAAAAACACCGAACCCTTTGTTAAATTGCTGGCTCCCCCACCCCTCGCCCACCAATATTTATTGGCAATAAATAGTGGTGCGGAGGGGCGGGGCAAGCCAGCAATTTAACAAACGGTTCGGCTGCACCACTGGCTCTAGGGCGGCCCTTTGAAGCCCCGTGGCAAGAATTTGAAGTTTTTTTTTCCTCTAGCCATCGGAGGCAGCAATAGATTGGGAGTGGGCAGGGTAAGCGAACGGCCGGCGATCCAACAGAGCAGAGAGACTGAGGGTGAGTGAAGGCGTGGAAGCTGCTTTCTCCATCCTGCTCTCTTGCGTCCGGAGCCGGTGGGGAACCACGTGGCAGCCCACATGGATCCCAGGCAGCGGAACTCAGGCTAGGGAAGGGGTGGGCAATTGTGGCTCTTTTACAACCTCTGGCCTTCAACTCCCAGAATTCCTGAGACAGCTTGGCTGTCTCAGGAATTCTGGGAGTTGAAGGCCACAGATTGTAAAAGAGCCACAATTGCCCACCCCTGGCTACGGTAGGCTGGCGCCGCGCGGGTGGGAGGCGAGGGGCGGGCGAGCCAACAATTTAACAAAGGGTTCGGCCGAACCCCCTAGAACCCCCAGAATCCCACCACTGTGTAGGCCCCTCTTGATCTTGAGGCCCTAGGCTGAAGCCTAGTTAGCCTATAGGAAAATCCGGCCCTGCTGGTTGGGGGGCAAGAGGCTGACTCTGTAAACTGCTTAGAGAGGGCTGTGAAAGCACTGTGAAGCGGTATGTAAGTCTAAGGGCTATTGCTAAATGGGAAGGGAGGGAGGGAGGGAGGAAGCAGGAGAAGAGGAGAAGGAGGGGAGGAGGAAGGAAAGAATGGAAAAGGAGGAGGAGGGAGGGAGGGAAGAAGGAGAGGAGGAAGAGAGGGAGGGAGGAAGAAGGGAGAAAAAGAGAGAGGGAAGGAAAAGAGGGAGGGAGGAATCAATCCCTATTGCACCCTTCTTGGGCCTTCTCAAACTCACCCCCAGGAAGTGTATCTTAGCAGGTGAGTCTCCACCTGTAACTTTCACAGCATTGTCAAAGACATCTCTGTTGGTCCGGGATAACCAAGTCTCCTTCCCCTCCACTCTGACAACACCTGTCAAAATCAGAGTAACCTGTCAGCCCCACTTAGCAAGACTTACTTGGAGCAATAAAAGGACAACTGACTAAAAACACTCACCGGCCCAGTAATTTCCCACCATGGTTTTCCGGATTTTTCTGGAAACATCCAGAAGGGTTGCACCAACGTAAGCTATTTCGTAGCCAAACCGAAAACTCTATGGAAGCAAGAGGGGAAAGGAAAATGCAGAATCATTGATCCAATTTTGTTTTGCAGGGGACAAGGGAATGCTACACTGATTAACCCAACCCAACCAGAACTGGAAGTGCTGGTTTTTGGCAAAACCATTGTAACACTAAAACACATGATAGAGAGAGAGAGAGAGAGACAGAGAGAGACAGAGAGAGAAGGAAGATAGATAGATAGATAGATAGATAGATAGATAGATAGATAGATAGAGATGATAGAGATAGATAAATGATACAGATGGATAGAGATAAATAGATAAATGATATAGATAATAGAGATAGATAGACAAACAGATGAAAAATAATAGAAATAGATGATAGATAGATCGATAGATCGATAGATAGAGATAGACAGATGGATAAAGATAAATAGGTAGATATAGATAAATGTTAGAGATAGAGATAGATAGATAATAGATAGAGATAGATAGATAAATAAATAGATAAATGATAGAGATACAGATGGATAGATAGAGATAAATAGGTAGATATAGATAAATGATAGAGATAGATAGATAGAGATAGATAGAGATAGATAGATAAATGAGAGAGGGAGAAAGAGATTGAGAGGGAGATATATGATGGATGGATGTGTGGATCTTCTCCGGTTGGCACTGTGAGATAGCTTTGAACTGGAACTGGAGAAGATCCACATTACATCCATGAATTTCTAGGAACTGAATTTTTTGGATCGAATTGCATATCTTCTCCAGTTGGAATTATGAGATTACTTTCCATTGGAACTAGAGAAGATCACAATGAGATCCCTGAATCGCTAAGAACTGAATCTTCCGGCTCTTCGATCTACAGCTAACCCATAACTCCCAGTCAAACATCTCAGCTCGCCTGCCCTTCTTCCTCGGCTTACCTGCGTCAGGTGGAAGATGCGGCTGTTGGGCACATCCAAAACTGTGTTGTCAGCACCTCGGAAGGTGTAAATCTGTTGGTGTGGATTTTCTACCAAGATTACCCCACACGTTTGCGAGAGGACAATATTCATCATAGCTAGAGAAAGGTGGAGGGGGGGGGGGAAGAGATCTTTAGAAGCTCAGTGTGGAAAGGAGACCAACGTTCTCACAGGAACAAGGCCCTCAAAAAGCCACAGTGGCTTTAATGAGCCATGGATTTTAATCTTTTTATCAGAAATGATGGAAACTGGAATTTCCAAAACAGGGAAGAGATCTAGAGGAAATCGCATCCTTCTATTCCAAGACTGTTAAGTTAGTTTGCCCCATTTTATGGCTTTTCTTTGCCACTGCTGTCAAGTGAATCACTGCAGTTGTTAAGTCAAGTCACCCAGTTGCTAAGCGAATCTGGCTTCTCCTTTCACTTTGCTTGTCAGTAGGTCGCAAAAGGAGATCATGTGACCTCCCAAGACACTGCAACCGTCATAAGTACAGTCAGTTGCCAAGCGTCCGAATTTTGAGCATGTGGATGGCTGCAATGGGGTTGTGTGAAAAACGGTCATGTCGCTTTTTTCAGTGCTGTCGTAACTTCATATGGTCACTAAGTGAACTGTTGAAAGTCGAGGATTATCTGTACTTGAACTCAGAACCTACACCTCACTCACCGTGGGTGCAGTCTTGGGCCTCATCCACCATGATGACGTCGTAACGCTCCGTATCGGTGGAAAGAGAAGGCTTCTGGAGTTGCCAAAGTTTCAAGTAACCTAAAAGGCACAAGACTGATGCTTAAAATCAATGTACAATAAAACAACATTGTATGATTTTGTTTCTTGGGCTCCTGTGTTATAGAGCCCACTATGACTTTAAAAAGGAAGCATTATGCAGAGATGGACAGATTATCTATGGAAATGAAGGAGAGGGAGGATACCGAGTACTATTTAATATGGAATAAATGGTATTTGTGGTTGGAGAGTAAAGATAAAATTTAAGGGATGTTTTTGTTACGAGATCAAATTGTAAAGTTAAGATAATTTAGATAAAGATGTAAGTTTAAGATACAGATATTTAGAAGTAGAATTTGTGTAAAGAGGTTAAATAGGCTAGAGATACCGATGCAGAAAAGTTGTTATTAGTATTGAAATTTTGATATGTTTGTTTTTGGTTGTTTATATTTGTGTGTGTGTGTGTGTGTGTGTGTGTGTTTCTTGCTTTTTTGTGTATTATTTTTCTTTTTGTACTGTGTATTTTAATCTTTGGAAATTTAATAAATATTATTTTTTTAAAAAATAAAATAAAAAGGAAGCATTATGTTATAATTTCTTTTAATACAGGGTTCCCCTACCTTGGCCACTTAAAGATGCGCAGATTTCAACACCCAACATGCTGGCTGGGGAATTCTGGGAATTGAAGTCCACAAGTCTTAAACTGACCAAGTCAGGATTAGAACTCACCAAATTCAAGCCAGTCGGCTTTCATTCTTAAAGCGGGACTAGAACTCACAGTCTCCTGGTGATTGGTCCAAAGTCACCCAGCTGGCTCTATGCCTAAAGTAGGACTGGAATTTCCCTCCATGAAGAAAATCGCCCCTTTATTCTTCTTTTTTTCCTGTTTCTTCAGCAGAACTAAATGCCACCGACCTTCCCTCACATATTCCACTTACCGCTGAATGTCATGTAGTACTCCTCCTCGGTTGCGCCCAGCGCTTTCATCTTGTCCCATATTTGTTCCGCTTTTTCAACAATGATCTAGAAAGCAAAAGCTGGTAAGAAGATCTTGCTGGTGAAAAGATTCAGATCCAGAGTTTTCTCATCTAGGCTGCCCAGTGATATTGAAGGAGAAGGAAGGTCTGGATCTACAGCTAGTCCTCGACTTACGGCCACAATGGAGTCCCACATTTCCACTGCTAAGCAAGAAAGTTGTTGTTTTGCCCCATTTTACAACCTTTCTTGCCACAGTTGTTAAGTGAATCACTGCAGTTGTTAAATTCATCACATGGTTGTTAGGGGAATCTGGCTGTCCCCCTTGACTTTGTCAGAAGGAGATCACGTGACCTCCTGGACACTGCAATGGTGATAAATACAGGTAGTCCTCGACTTAGGACCACAATAGAGCCCAAAATTTCTGTTGCTAAGCGAGAAAGTTCTTAAGTGAATTTTGCCCCCTATTGCAACTTTTCCTGCCACTGCAGTTGTTATGTTCGTCACACGGTTGTTAAGTGAATCTGGCTTGCCCATTGGTTTTGCTTGTCAGAAGGTCATAACCTCAGGATACTGCGACCGTCATAAATATGAATCAGTTGCCAAGCGTGTGAATTTTGATCATTTAATTGCAGGGATGCTGCAACGGTCGCAATTGTGAAAAACAATTGGTCCTAAGTCACTTTTTTCAGTGCCGTTGTAACTTTGAACGGTCACTAAATGAACTGTTGTAAGTCGAGGGCTACCTGTCACAGGTCCTAAGAACCAATACTCACTTGTTTTTCGCATTCCTCCATATCTTCTCCAAAGCCGGTGTGCTCCACCATGATGGACTCATCTGCCGAAGCGAAAAAGGCTTTGAGGGTCTGAACAATCGCCGTGGCATGGTCCGAAGTATGTCCAGAATTGTTGAGGAAAAGTCTTACCATGTTGGTCTGTATGTCCCGAAAAAATTTATTCCTGTAGCTACAGCAGAATGAAAGAGGGAAGGTGAAATTAAGCTTATTTGAATGTTGATTACTGGCAAGGAAGCCTTTTTGGTCTTTCTGTTTCGTTTTTGGCTCTTTGATTGTCGGTTTTCAATGGTATGTAGTTGTTGTTTCTCTCAATGTGCCTGTTGATGGCTGATTCCCCCCCCCCCAGTGCCAGGAATTCTCTAGCATTTTAGACAGCACTAGCACTAGCACTTTGACTTATATACCGCTTCACAGTGCTTTACATCCCTCTCTAAGTGGTTTACAGAGTCGACCTCTTGCCCCCCAACAATCTGGGTCCTCATTTTACCCACCTCGGAAGGATGGAAGGCTGAGTCAACCTTGAGCCAGTGAGACCCGAACTGCCATACTGCATTTATTAATTTTATTTCTATACCACCCTTCTCCCGAAGGACTCAGAGCGGTGTACAGCCTGATTAAAAGCACTGTGGTAGCGCATTCTAACCACTGAGCCACCACAGCTCCTAGATAGCACTGTTGATGTTACCTACTTGGCTCATGAAATGTTTGCAATCAAACAACCAAGCTCAGAGAGCACCAAAGACCTCAGAGTCCATATTAATTTCTAACACATTTCTAACACAAAACCATATTTAAAAAACAGTAAAATTCATTTTAAAAAATCAAATAAATTAATGTAATAAAATAACCCCTGACCCCCACCTCCCACCCCAGCAACAGCAGATCACGCAAGCCATTTAACGGGGTCCATCCTGTTCTGGGTTCCCCAGGCCCGCTGGCAGAACCAGGTCTTCAGCGCCTTCCGGAAGACAATTAGGGTGGGGGCCGTTTTAATCTCTGGGGAATGATGTTCCAGAGAGAGGGAGCCACCACGGAGAAGGCCCTTCTTCTGGGTCTCACCAGGTGTATCTCCCTCTGAGAACCCCCAGATTACGCACAGGGTCTGTTTGGGGTAGTGCCACCAGATCCAAGACCAAAAATGGCAATTCTCCCTGAGCCAACGAACCCCAAACCCAGAGCCACTCGGTCTTCCCAGGGTTTAGTTTCAACCCATTGCTCCCCATACAACCCCTAACAGCCTCCAGGCACTGCGAGAGGGAGGATACGGCACCACGGGCTGAGACAAGCATTAAATCATGATGTGGTGGGAAAAGAACATCTGTTATCCATCTCAAATTAAAGTGAAGTGAAGCACTCGTTCATGAAATCTCCAGACAGTGAGAGCAATTAATCAGTGAGACGGCTTGCTTCTAGAAGTTGTGGGTGCTCCAACAGCGGCAGTGTTTAAGAACAGATTTGACAACTATTTGGTCTGAAATGTTATAGGGTCTCCTGCCTCAGCAGGGTGTTGGACTAGAAGACCTCCAAGGTCCCCTCCAATTCTATTACTCTGTTCTTTCAATCTTTCCAGCAGCATAAGAATCCTATTCTATTTCATAAATGTCCTAAGAAACCATTTCAAAATAATAAATTGTTTCGTTTCTGGTTTGTTGGGATCTGACCACCTCTTTGGTTTTATCGCTATTATTTTTATCGGGTTTATCTTTTCTTTTTCATTATTTCATACCACATCGTATCACTGTTTTTTTTTAAAAAAAAAAAACAGGGCAGATTCATTAAATAGGATACAGACACTTACCTTTCGCCAACTGCCTTATTACCTAAAGAGTGGAAAGTTTTACAGATGACGTTTCTAGGGAAAACCTTACACGCCTGTTTTATGGTTTTGTTGTTGAATGCCAAGTACAAGAATTTAAACTTGGACCACTTCTTGGTATACTGGACCAGAGTGGATGTTTTCCCAGTGCCTGCATGAAAAATTAAAAACATTTCAGTCCTTCCAGGGGTTCCCCCCCCACCCCCAAGCCCAGTTCCTTCCAGACAGCCAGGATGGCAGAAAAAATTCCAAGGATTTTACAGGTTGAAGGTGTGAGGTTAGACTGAAGCTTCCATGTGTAAAGATGAAAACTAAGCAAGATGGATAAAATCTTGTCTAATAGGGTTGCAAAGGATGCAAAGGAACCAAATCGTTAAGAAAACAAAAGAAGAAAAAATGTCACTTGAACCAGACAAAAAAAGTTAGGTCTCCAAATTCCATCAACAGCTTATCAGACTTCAAAATCAACAATACAGATCAGAGGTGGGTTTCAGCAGGTTCTGACCAGTTCTGGAGAACCGGTAGCGGAAATTTTGAATAGTTCAGAGAACTGGAAGTAAAAATTCTGATTGGCCTCACCCCCATCTATTCTCCGCCTCCCAAGTCCCAGCTGATTGGGAGGAAATGGGGATTTTGCAGTATCTTTTCCCTGGAGGGGGATGGGAATGGAGATTTTACAGTATCCTTCCCATGCAATGCCCAAGCCATGCCACGCCCACCAAGCCACACCCACAGAACCAGTAGTAAAATTTTTTGAAACCCACCACTGATACAGATCATCCTTGATTTACGACCACAATCTTTTGTTGCTAAGTGAAACATTTGTTAAAGTGATTTTTGCTCTGTTTTACAACCTTTCTTGCTACAGTTGTTAAGCAAAACACCGGAGTTGTTAAAATTAGTAATACGGTTGTTAAGTGAATCTGGTTTTACTGTCGATTTTGCTGATCAAGTGCTTGGAAAAGGGGATCATGGAACCCCAGGACAATGCAACCGTTATAAATGTGAATCACTTCCCAAGCATCTGAATTTTGATCATGTGACCATGGGGATCTTAAGTGTGAAAAAATGCTCATAAGTCACTTTTTTCAGTGCTGTTTGAATGGTCACTAAAGTGTTGTGTGTCTATGTTAGAAGCTGTTAATTTACAAAGCAGGGACTTTGTGGGTTCAAGAGTGCTAGCCTAGTGAAGAAGGGTGTACGTGAGTGTACATGAGTGTGTATGTGTGTGTGTGTGTGTGTGAGAGAGAGAGAGAGAGAAAGAGACAGAGAGACAGAGAGAGACACACAGAGAGAAAGCGTAAATGAAGAAAATATTTGTAGCTCACGGTTGAGCTTTTGGGTTCTTGATGCTCTTTTGAGTTTGGTTGATTTTTTGCATTCACTTCATGACCCAACTAGGTAACATCATCAGTGCTAGAAGGGAGTGGGGTTTGCAGAGAGGAGGGGGAGGGGGGAGAGGGACGAGGATTAGAAAGAGAAGAAGGAGGAGGAGGAGAAGAGGAGCAAAGTGGGGTCCTTGATGCTCTCTGAACTTGCAGATGTTTCATGACCCAACTAGATTACATCATCAGTGCTAGAAGGCTTGTGCTAAAAGGCTACTAAGCACTGATGATGTTCCCTAATTGGGTCATGAAACGTCTGCAGAAAACCACCCAGCTCAGAGAGCACTGAGGACTCCACAGTTCATCCCTGAGCTACAAATATTCTCTTCTATCGGCAACACTACAATCTCCATAACAGTGGAGAAGAACCACAGCAACATGCATCACCCACAAGGAGAATCTTTAGCCAGTGAAATGAAGATCTGGACAAGGTTAGGGCAGCTCAAAAAATATGCAATGATTAGCGAGTTTGCACCTACAGAGGGAATCAAGAAACTTCTGGGCTCCAGCTGCCTTACCTGCAAAACCTACAATTTTTACCCGGTCTCCAGGGTTAAGCTCGTGCTTTAAGATCCGTTGTTGTTCACTAGTAGGTTGTTCACTAGTAGGTTGTGAAATAGGCCTGTCGATGAATAGAACCAGAAGATAGTAAAAGGTTAACATAGGTAATCATGTGGTCTATACAACAGAGCAAACAGGGTCTAAATTCAAGGTTTCTCAATCTTGGCATCTTTAAGATGTTTGCAACATTTGCATTTGCTGGCTGGGGAATTCTGGGAGTTGAAGTTCACACGGCTTACGGTTGTCAAGGTTGAGACACATTGGGCTAAATTGTTCTCCTCGGAAAACCTGGGCAGTTAGTCCTCACCTTACAACATTTCATTTAGTGACCATTCAATGTTACAACAGCACTGACAACAATGACTTATGACTGTTTTTCACACTTACAACCATTGTAGTATCTCAACGATCACGTGATCAAAATTCGGATGCTTGGCAACTGATTCATATTTATGACAGTGTAGCATCCTGGAGTCAGGTGATCCCTTTTGCAACCTTCGGACAAACAAACTCAAGGGGGAGGCCAGATTCATTTAACAACCATGTTACTCACTTAACAACGGAGACAAGCAAAGTCATAAAATGGGGCAAAATTCACTTAACCTATGTTTCCCTTAGCAACAAAGTAATTTTAGGCTCAATTACAGTCGTAAATTGAGGACTACCTGTACATGTTTGCAAACATTCCGTAAAATCCAGGTTGTTCATACCTCGACTTATGATCACAATTGAGCCCAACATTTCTGTTGTTAACTGTTGTTAAGTGAGTTTTACCCCATTGTCTCATCATTCCTGCCACTGTTGCTAAGTGAATAACCACACTTGTTAAGTTAGTGACACGGTTGTTAAGTGAATCTGGCTTCCCCCTTGCCTTGGCTTGTCAGGTCGCAAAAGGGGATCACGTGACCCTGGGGACACTGCGACGGTCATAAATACGAGTCAGTTGCTAAGTGTCCGAGCTGTGATCACATGACCACGAGGATGCTGCAATTGGTCATAAGTGTGAAAAGCAGTCATGGGTCACTTTTTTCAATGCTGTTTCTAACTTTGGTCACTAAATAAACTGTTATAAGTCGAGGACTACTTGTATTAACATATAAGTAGTCCTATAAGTAGTAACATACATACCTAGGACCACTTTTACTGCTGGGTAATTCAGGATCATTTATGGAAGGCGTGCTGCCGGGTGAATTCTCCAAGTAATACAAGCAATAAGAAACACTGTAGTGAAACCTAGAAGGATACAGAATTTGGGAAAAATTAAAATGAACCTCAAAGTAAACTCTAAATTGTACAAAACCAAGGAAAAATAATTCAGAGGTTGGAAAAAACACACCTTGGCAGATTTCTGTTTTAATGAACCAACCCTTAAAAGCAGCAGCATCTCTTTGCAGATGCCTGAGAGAGCCTGAGCAAAGTTGCAGCTGTTTTAATGAATAGGAGAGGAGTTTTAGTTTTAGTTATATTTATTGATATCCTGCCTCTATTTTTGCACATAACTCAAGGGGGTGAAAATATCCAATGCAGCTTCCTCCTCCTCCTCATAACAACAACCCTGTGAGGTGGGTTGGACTGAGAGACATACTAGCCCAAAGTCACCCAGTTGGCTTTCATGCCTAAGGTGGGACTAGAACTCATGTCTCCTGCTCATTGGCCCAGGCAGCTTTCATGCCTAAGGCGGGACTAGAACTCATGTCTCCTGCTCATTGGCCAGGCAGCTTTCATGCCTAAGGCGGGACTAGAACTCATGTCTCCTGCTCATTGGCCCAGCCAGCTTTCATGCCTAAAGCGGGACTAGAACTCACTGCTGCTTTCTAGCCTGATACATTAACCACTAGACCAAATTGGCTGTCATGCTAGATTCAAAGTGCTTTTGCTGAATGCAAAGTTTTAAATGCACGCACAGCCCTGTCAAAGATACTCCTAGTTTTACTATTGCCGTAAACTACAGGTATCAGTCCTAGGAACCTCCTGACCCTTTGCAAACTTACCTGTTACTGATCTTGACCTCATTCTCCCGCATGGCATAAAGTAGGGTTGCCATGGAATACAAGATTTCAAGGATGTCCTCCGATGACATGGGGAAGACAGTCTTTGGACTTTGGAGACAGCCCACCAACTCCTGAATGTCACAAACGCCTCCAGCAAAGAGCACAATGGCCGCCATCACTGCCTGAACGTAGGTCGGCTGGAAGAACATGGGTTGAATGATTATAGGGGTGGGGGAAACCATTTTTTCTCTCACGGGTTGTATTATCTGTCCTGTCTGACAGGGGAGCAGGGTGAATGGTACAAGGAGTGCTCCGGCTTACAGTTATGCAAGGAATGTGGGGTCCTTGGTGCTCTCTGAGCTTGGTGGTTTTCTTAAAGACATTTCAACGCCTGACTAGGTAACGTCATCAGTGCTAGAAGGGAGTGGGGTTTGCAGAGAGGATGGGGAGGACTGTGGAGTCCTTGGTGCTCTCTGAGCTTGATTGTTCTCTTGCAGACATTTTATTAACCAACTAACTAACATCACCAGTGCTAGAAGAGAGTGGCTTTTGCAGAGAGGGGGAGAAGGAGGAGGACTGTGGGATCCTTGGTGCTCTGAGCTGGGTTGTTTTCTTGCAGACATTTCATTACCCAACTAAGTAACATCATCAGTGAAAGAAGGGAGGGGGAGGAGGAGGAAAAGAACTATAAGATCCTTATTATTTGGAAGCCTGGCACTCAGACTAAGCACTAAATAGTTGCTAAAACAAATGGTTTGGAATTATCTGTCTGGGAATCCATTGCCTTTTGCGTGACATCCCCAAATTCTGAGCAAGAAAACCCACATCCAAGGAAAAACACAATGGAAGCCCCCCCATAACCTCAATTCCAGGGAGCATTTAAGACTGCCAAGACCTACAGTCTCTTTGCGACCGTCCAAATCCGGAAGTTTCCTGGTGATGCAGACTTCCGCCTTGGGATAGAGTGAGTGGCGTTGCAGAAACGTGAGGGCAGTGGTGGGATTTTCACAGGGGTAGGTCTGATAATCAGCCACACACCTGGATTCGGAAAAGAAATACAGACATGGATTACTTCCACAGTTCCACTAATTTTTGTCATTTTCTCAGGATGGCAATCCCAATAGGAGGGTCAAGGGCCACTACTGGGCTGCAGCCTATTCGAAACTGGACTGTGGGAGAACTGGGCAAGCGTGTGCTGCTCGTACAAATGGACCTGTGTGTGCTTGTGTGCGCCTGCCACTCATACGCGTCCCCCTCACCCCCGGCACTAGGCCGGACTGCCAAGCTGGGACCCCGGCCTAGTGCTGGAGGTTTCTGTGGGCATGGCTTGGTGCGGGTGGCAGGGGAAGGATAATGCAAAATCTCTATTCCCCCCCCACTCCAAGGGAAGGATACTGCAAAATCCCCATTCCGTCCCCACTCCAGGGGAAGGATACTGCAAAATCCCCATTCCCTCCCCACTCCAAAGGAAGGATACTACAAAATCCCCATTCCCTCCCCACTCCAGGGGAAGGATACTGCAAAATCCCCATTCCCTCCCCACTCCAGGGGAAGGATACTGCAAAATCCCCATTCCCTCCCGATTAGCTGGGATTTGGGAGGCAGAGAATAGATGGGGGCAGGACCAGTCAGAGGTGGTATTTACCGGTTCTCTGAACTACTCAAAATTTCCGCTACCAGTTTGCCAAAACTGGTCAGAACCTGCTGAAACCCACCTCTGGACCCCAGGTTACAATGTGGCTCGGTGAGAACAAAGAAACAGAGTCCTGGTTACCTCACTTAAAAAATACACATTTATTCAGCCGAACAAAGGTGGGTTCTCCCATAAGATTGGAAGAACCCTGAATGCAGTTTGAAGCAAGTATATATAGATTTCTTATTTTTACTTAGTTACATTAGAGGAAACCAGCACACCATAGATAACTTACAGGCAGTCCTTAAGTTATGACCACAATTGAGCCCAAAATTCCCATCGCTGAGTGAGAAATTTGTGAAGTGAGTCTTGCCCCATTTTACGACTTTCCTCGCCACATTTGTTAAGTGAATCGTTGCCGTTGTCAAACTAACAACACGGCTATTAATAGAATCTGGCTTCCGCACTGACTGGTCCCGGGGTCGCAAAAAACGGTCACATGACCCCGGGAACCTGCAACTGTCATAAATGTGAGTCAGTTGCCAAGCGTCTGAATTTTCATCACGTGACCCTGGGGATGCTGCAACCGTCATAAGTGTGAAAAACGGTCATGAGTCACTTTTTTCAGTGCTGCTGTAACTTTGGACATTCCCTAAACGAATTGTCATAAATTGAGGATTACTTATATTAACACATGAAGTTAACATATGTACCTAAGACCCAGGGGTGAAATGCTCCCGGTTCGGACTGGATTGCCCAATATGGTAGCAATGGAGGCAGGTGGTTCGGAGAACTGGTAGCAAAAATCCCTGCCGCCCCCCCATGCCCAGCTGAGCCGCACAATCAGAGGCTTTTTTTTTTTTTACTTTTTAAAGTATTTTTTCTTCGGCCGAAAAAATGCTTTTAAAAGTAAAAAAAAAAAGCCTCTGATGTTCGCACGGCTCAAATGGGATTGGCAGACCCTTTTAAAGGCCGGCCTTGAGAATGTTATCTGGGAGGAGTTCGATCCTGTGACTTCTGAGGACATGGACAGGATTCTGGGGAGGTTAAATGCAACCACATGTTTATTGGACCCGTGTCCTTCCTGGCTGGTACTGGCCACCCGGGAAGTTACACGAGGCTGGCTCCAGAGGATTATAAATGCTTCTCTGAGCGAGGGTTTCTTGCCTGAAAGAGGCGGTGGTGAGGCCCCTCCTCAAGAAGCCTTCTCTGGACCCGGCTGTTCTGGCAAATTACCATCCGGTCTCCAACCTTCGCTTTATTGTGAAGGTTGTTGAGAGTGTGGTTGCGCGACAGCTCCCGCAGTACCTAGATGAAACCGTCTATCTAGATCCATGCCAGTCCGGCTTCAGACCTGGGTACAGCACAGAGACGGCATTGGTCACATTGGTGGATGATCTCTGGAGGGCTCGGGACAGGGGTTGCTCCTCTGTCCTGGTCCTGTTAGATCTCTCAGCGGCTTTTGATACCATCGACCATGGTATCATGCTGCGTTGGGGGTGGGAGGCACCGTGCTGTGGTGGTTCTCCTCCTATCTCTCTGACTGGTCGCAGTCTGTGTTGGCAAGGGGGCAAAGGTCGACCTCGAGGTGCCTTGTTTGCGGGGTGCCGCAAGGATCGGTCCTCTCGCCGCTCCTGTTCAACATTTATGTGAAGCCGCTGGGTGAGATCATCCGTGGTTTTGGGCTGCGCTGCCAACTGTACGCTGATGATACTCAGCTGTACATCTCCATCCCTGACCACCCCAATGATGCCCTTGAAGTAATGTCCCAGTGCCTTGAAGCCGTGCGGGTCTGGATGGGGAGGAACAGGCTTCGACTCAACCCTTTCAAGACCGAGTGGCTGTGGATGCCGGTGTCCCGGTATAGCCAGCTGGTGCCATCGCTGGCTATTGGGGGTGAGTTACTGGCCCCCACAGAGGGGGCTCGCAACTTGGGTGTCTTCTGGATTCACGGCTGTCTTTGGAAGGGCATATGACGGCCGTGGCCAGGGGGGCCTTCTATCAGGTCCGCCTGATGCGCCAGTTGCGCCCCTTTCTGGATCTGGACTCCTTATGCACAGTCACCCATGCCCTCGTCACGTCTCGCCTGGACTACTGTAACGCTCTCTACATGGGGCTCCCCTTGAGGTGCACCCGGAGGCTCCAACTGGTCCAGAATGCAGCCGCGCGGGTGATTATGGGAGCCACAGGGCGCTCCCACATAATACTTCTGCGCGAGCTCAGTGGTCTTCCGGGTGCGCTTCAAGGTGTTGGTTCTCACCTTTAAAGCGCTCCATGACATAGGGCCGGGATATCTGCGAGACCGCCTGCTGCTACTGATAACCTCCCACCGGCCAGTACGCTCGCACAGAGAGGGCCTCCTCAGGGTGCCGTCGGCCAAGCAATGTTGGCTGGCGGCCCCCAGGGGGAGAGCCTTCTCTGTAGGGGCACCCACCCTGTGGAATGAGCTACCTCCTGGAATACGACTGATCCCAGACCTCTGCGCTTTCCAAAAGGCCCTGAAGACTTATTTATTCCAACAAGCTGGCCTAGCTTAAATGGTTTTAATGGGGTTTTTAAATTTTCGATTTTATTGATTCTGGGTTTTAAATTGGGAACTTTTCGATTTTGCAGATCTGGGATTTTAAATTGGAAATGCCGATGATTTAATTTATTTTAGTTTTTTCTTAACTTTTGTACTATATGTGTTTTAAGTTTGGCTGTCCACCGCCCTGAGTCCCCCTGGGAAGAAGGGCGGTATATAAGTTGAATCAATCAATCAAACAATCAATCAATCAATCAATCAATCAATAAGTAAATAAATAAATAAATAAATGCATTTTTTCTACAACCTCTTTCAGTTGAAGAGGTTGTAGAAAATATGGTTTTAAAAGTAAAAAAAAAAGTTGGCCACGCCCACCCAGTCACACTACACCCCCCGCCCACCAAAGCCAAGCCCACAGAACTGATAGTAACAAATTTTACATTTCACCACTGCTAAGACCTCTTTCACTGTGGTGTAAATCAAGGGCTACCTGTACAGGTAAGTTCAGATCTATGGCAGATCCAGGTAGTGAAAGACAAGAGAGGCATCGAGAGTGTCAGTCCATACAGTGGCCGAAGGTCACACGATTGAATGGCTGACTAGGACGACGAATCCTCGACTTACCATTCGTTTAATGACTGTTTGAAGTTACAACGGCACTGAAAAAAGTGGCTCATGACCATTTTTCACACTTACGACCGTTGCTCATATTTATGACAGCCGCAGTGTCCTGGGGTCACATGATCCCCTTTTGCGGGATTGTGGAAAAAGTTTTCTCCCTTTTCATGGATTGGGGAAACACAGAGAATAGGTCAGAGGGCAGAAGATTTTGGGTGCACAAACCAGGGTTTAGAGCAGCGTGTCTCAAACATGGCCAGTTTAAGATGGATGGACGTCAACTCCCAGAATTCTGGCCCAGGCTGGGGGATTCTGGAAGTTGAAGTCCATCCCTCTTACAGTGGCCAAGTTTGAGAAACACAGATTTAGAGCTTATCACAACCGAAGCTGAGACACACAACAAAATACAGTGGAATCATAGCCTGGCCCAGAAGCGTCCAATGAGCAATGTCAAGGATATGCTTAATGACTGTGTTGCTAACTTCACCACTGCAGCGTTTCACTTAACAACTTTGTCAAAAAAGTTCATAACATCAGGCCAAACTTTGCTTTACAGCTGTCTGGCTTAGCCACAGAAATTTGTGGCTCAATTGAGGTCGTCAGTCGAGAAAGCAAAAGAGATGGTTTGCGGTTGTGATACCGAAGGCCACTCACCGAATAAATCCCAGCATGCATTGGGGGTGCTCCTTGGTTAGGCCATACTGTTTCAGAATGGCTCCTACGATCACTGTGGCGTGGTCAACTTCTTTCAAATAGTCCTTGTACAGCTTCTTCCAAGGAATTACTGTATTTTCCGGCGTATAAGACGACTGGGCATATAAGACGACCCCCGACTTTTCCTGTTAAAATATAGGGTTTGGGTTATACTCGCCGTATAAGACTACCCCTCTTCCAACGCACACCAAATAAAAATTAAAAAACATCAACTGGCTCACCCACAATGTAAAAGCAGCTGTGCTAGACCCAAAATGGCCCCTGCAACAAGCAGGAACTTCACACAGCCACAAAAAGCCCAAAAAAGCAACTTTCACACTTTACAACACAAAATTCCACATACAGCTTTGTGAGATTTTGTGTGTTTGAGTAGTTAGAGTGAAACACTACAGAAACACACTAAATCTCAGAAAGCTGCACAAATATTATTTTATTTTATTTTATTTTTATTTTTATATGAAAACTAAATTTAAAACTTCCTAAACTTTAAATGGCTAGGTCTAAAAAAGAACAACTAAAAAAAAAACCCAATTAACTATTTTTTTAAAGCTCCCAAAGGGGAAAAAAACTTACCCAATAGAACAGGGGTCTCCAACCTTGGCAACTTTAAGACTTGTAGACTTCAACTCCCAGAATTCCTCAGCCAGCTTTGTTTTGCTGGCTGAGGAATTCTGGGAGTTGAAGTCCACAACTCCCTGCCTGCTTGATTGCTGATGGAATGGATTCAGGCAAGCGAAGCAAGGCAAATGTTGCGACTAGCAGCTAAGGTAAGCAAGCTGGAGGGGGAAAACTTTTTTCCTTTTACATGGCTCTGGCGATTCCAGCTGCGTTGCCTGATTAGCAGGCAACGCAGCTGGGATCGTCAGAGCTTGGATCGCCAGAGCCATTTAAGGCTCGTCAGAGCCTTTCGGGCTGGTCTGCCTGGTTACAGGAGAACGACACCCGGCGTATAAGACGACCCCCGACTTTTGAGAAGATTTTCATGTGTTAAAAAGTCGTCTTATACGCCGGAAAATATGGTAACTAAAATTCCAGAGCAAACATTGGATATGACTTAGACCTGACTTTAATTTAGAATAACTTTACTGTCGCTTTAAATGTACACTAATCAGCATACATTAAAATGAAATTTCATGGCGTACAGTTCTCAAAGGGTCACCCCCTCCAATATACACTACATAAGCATGACTGTTCTGCCCCAGCCACGGATCCCAAAGAACACAGCACACACAAACTCTGAACAAAACTTAGTTTACTCAAATAATGCAGTTTTAAATGCCAGCTGTTAATAAGCATTCTTAACAGCCTGCCAGAATTCCACAGATAAGATAGTCAGAGTCTTACTGGAGTTGGCAGAAAGCCCAGAAATCAGTTGCAGAGAAATCCCAACACAATGATTAGCGAACTAAAGTTGTTTCCTGCAGCTTGTTGCAAGCTGCGTCCTTTCTTAAATAGGCTAAGGGAGTGGCCAATTAGCCCCAAGCCTTACTCTCGAGGAGACCTCCTCCTGAGGAACCACTCCTATCTTTTGGCAGCTCTGCGTGCCCGTACATTGAGAAGAGGCTCCTCCTCTTCATCCTCTGTACTTAAAGGAGCCTCTGGAGGTTCTGAAGGCTCTGACTGGATCCCTACCTCTGGCACCACATCTTCTTCAGCCTCCTCGCTGTGCGACTCGAGCGCCGGCTGCACAGTCTCCTGGGGCAGCACCACACCAGTCTCCTTGTCGTTGGGATCAGCAACAATCTGGGCAGGCCGCTGGCAGGCCACAACAATGACCAAATAAATAAATGCAAAATTATGCATATACCCACATATATTATGTGACACATACAAAGAACAAATTTTTTCCATATCATTTATAAAAAAGATTTTTTAAATCCCGTCTTTAATATTTTTATGTGCAAGATTAAAACCTTAGTCACCAAGAAAAACAGGAGATTTGACTTCCAAGAACAGAAGAAGTGTGGTACAATTCAAAACATTACCTGCCTCCCCATAATTCAGCGGTTGCACCGTTGTTTTGTTAATCACTTACAAAGCATTGTTAGCAGATACCTGTTAGATCAATATTGGTTAAATCTGGCAACTTTAAGACCTGTGGACTTCAATTCCCCGAATTCGCCAGCCAGCCATGACATGAGCGCAATCCCTTCCAATCTTTGAGGGGCTGCCCCAAAGACGAGGGGGTCAACCTATTCTCCAAAGCACCTGAAGTCAGGACAAGACGCAACAGAGGGAAACTAAGCAAGGAGAGAAGAAACCTGGAATTAAGGAGAAATTTCCTGGCAGCGAGAACAATTAGCCAGTGGAACGGCTTGCCTCCAGAAGTTGTGGGTGCTCCAGAACTGGAGGTTTTTAAGAAGAGATTGAACCATTTTCTGCCTCAGCAGGGGATTGGACTAGAAGACCTCCAAGGTCCCAATTAACTCTATTATTCTGTAAACAGAAGGGGGTTTTAAACAGGGGTATGTACCTGACTAGGGTTAGACCATGGAAGAAACTTTGTAAGGGAGACTGTGTCTGCACCAGGTCCTGTCCATCTTCCTGAAAACGTTGGAAGGGACCTTGGAGGTCTTGTAGTCCAACCTCTACTCAGGCAGGAGACTCTATACCAGGGATGGCAAACCTTTTTGCCATTGCATGCCAAAAGCGGGGGGAACGTGGGGAGGTCACGTACGTTTGTGTCCACATCCATAATTCAATGCACCTTGCCTCGCCGGGCATATGCGTGCAACCCTCCAACATTTGGCGCACAATGGCATGGTGGGCCTATTTTTCACCCTCCCAAGGCTCCAGAGGCTTTTTTGGATCCTGGGGAGGGCAAAAACAACCATCCCCACTCCGGGGCGGGGCCAGAAACAGCCCGTTTTCCCAACTTCCAGAAGGCCCGAAAATCAGCTGGCCGGCGCACGCATGCGCGCTGGAGATGAGCGAGGGCAATGCTTGAATGCCCACAGATATGGCTCCGTGAGCCACCTCTGGCACTCTTGCCATAGGTTCGCCATCACGGCCCTATACCATTTTCAGACAAATGGTTGTCCAATCTCTTCTTATAAACTTCCAGCGTTGGAGCATTCGCAACTTCTGGAGGCAAGTCGTTTCACTGATGAATTGTTGCAACTGTCAGGAAATTTCTCCTGAATTCTAGGTTGCTTCTCTCCTTGATTGGTTTCCACCCGTTACTTCTTGTCCTGCCTTCAGGGGCTTTGAAGAACAATTTGACCCCCTCTTCTTTCGGGCAACGTTTCAAATATTGGAAGACGAAATAAAGAGATGATGATACACTTCCAACACTTACACACCAGACAAAGGTTTTGGAGGAAATCAACCAGAGGTACCAGGGCAAAGATCTCCTGAAGGATTTCATCTGGCAGTTTCTCCATGATTACCTGAGATACGTCATTCCCAGATGTAGTTCCGGAGAGCTCAGGCTGGGCATCAGAAAGAGGATCCACCTCAACATCTTGAACTTCCTGCTGGACAGTTCCATCACTTGAGCTCTCTTCAGGAAGCCTCACCAACAATGGTTCTTGGACCTCTTGGCCAGCGCTTCCGTTGGAGTCGCTAGGTTCCGGGGACAAACAAAAAAGTTTTCTGGGCACCACTATGTTTCTTTCATCTGCAAGAAGAATACAAGAGTCGTCTGAGTCGGACACTGAGTCAAGAGTGAAGTTCTCCATTAAGGCCCATATACTTAGAAATGCTTTGTTGAGGATTTGGAAAAAATATCAATATAAGTTAAATTATAAGATACCTGTATGGGCAAATCCTAGACATGCAATAGAAAATATAAGTATAGAACAAAAACAGGAGGTGATTACCTATAAAGAGCTTCTTATTATGGAAAGGGGGGTAATGTATTTGAAATCTTTAGATACATTGAGAGAAGAAGGTATAATTTATACATGGTTTCAGTACGGTCAACTTCAAGCTAGATGGAAGGAAGATCAAAAAACTGGCTTCGTGCAAAATGAGGAGAATTTGGTAAAACAAATTAGAGATCAAAAACAAATGCATATTAAAAGGCTGTATAATGCTTTATTGGAAATAGACTCTGAGACGGAACTGGTTAAAGATTGCATGATTAAATGGGCGCGAAATTTTCAAGAGCCAGTGATGATGGAGACTTGGGAAAAGATTTGGACTAGAAATGTGGAATTTACACAAGCATAAAATTTAAGAGAAAACTTTTATAAAATGTTTTATAGATGGCATTTAGATCCAAAAAAATTATCATGTATGTATCCTAATGTGCAAGCTAAATGTTGGAGATGTGACTGTGATGATGCAACTTATTATCATATATGGTGGACTTGTAGAAAAATCAAAGCATTTTGGATAAAGATTTGGTGGGTGATGCAGAATATTTTTAAAAAAAGACTGAAATTTACTCCGCAGTTGTTTTTACTGGGTATAACTACGGACTGTACAGTTGCAGAGACTAAACTGATTTTGAACTTGATAACAGCAGCAAGATTGTTGATAGCACAACATTGGAAGAAGGATTTTTTGCCTACTATTGATGACTGGATATTGAAAGTAACTAATTTAGCTGAAATGGCTACAATTTCAGCATATTTGAAGGATCACACACAAGAAAGGTATATACAGGACTGGAGAAGATGGATTGATTATATTCAAAATAAGTATCAGACTAAAAAATATCAAATAGCTTATGAATGATTTTTTTTAACTGTATAAGCGCTATATACGTGATATTAGAAGTATTATGTCTAAGAAGTAGGATTTTATCTATGGGGGGTTAAGATTTTTTTTTTAGGGGGTGTTAGTTTAATGGTTGTTTAAGCAATTTAGCTTGTCGTTAAAAGTTAATAGAAATACCTTGTGTTCTGCTCTGGGAAGTCGGGGAGGGGGAGGGGGGGTTGGGTGGGAGGGTTGTGGGGAAATTATGTTTGTTTTACTAATAAAACTTTTTCAATAAAAAAAAAAAGAGTGACGTTCTCCAGATGTTCCTCATCTCTGATTTTGTGGCTTTCTGCCACATTATTGGAGCATCTTGAGATGTGGGATCTACTCCTGAAGTAAGCTGTGATGGTTCCTTGGTGGCCTGCGCACCCAACAGAGACAGAAAGGAAAGACAAATTACAGCAGCTTCAAAGGACAGCTGTGCCCAGGCAGAAAAGTGGGATGTCAGTAGACAGGAATCTGTACAGGTAGTCCTTGACTTAGAACAGTTCATTTAGTGACACTCTGAAGTTACAACTGCACTGAAAAAAGTGACTTACGACCATTTTCTACATTTGAGACGGTTGCAGCATCCTGTTAGGATATGGTGTAAGCCTAACAAATTGTCCAGGCAATATATGTGTTCTATAACTTTAAATGTATTCTGTAACTTTGAGATGTAATGCTGAGTAATTGTACTGCTGAGTCATTGTAATGACTAATGACTGCTGACTGAATGCTGACTGCAATTATCATAATTGTACTGTTGAGTCATTGCACTGCTGACTTCACTTATCTTAAGTGGATAATTACTAGTGTAAACTGTATATAAGGAGACAGCCAAGCTATAGTATTGTTGGATCTGCTCTCATCATTGCTTGGCTTGCTGCTTGATTGGAACTGTTACTGTCAGGTGAAGAAGCTCTCATCGTGGATGGATATGCTACCATCGTGATTTGTTACCAGCGTTGAATTGCTGTTTATTACCTACTGTTGTTTGTCTGGTAAGAAGATATCTGTAACTTCGGATTGATTTGAATGGCTAAAGACTTGGATTGACTAAAAGACTATGCAATTGTTTTTCACTACAAAGTAAAAGCTTTGTTAAACCAGTTTGTATGTATTGTATTCATTGCTCTCAGTACCGTTTCTCTGTGCACTTACTCTGCTGGTTGGTAACACAACAATATCCTTAACACATCCCTGTGGTCACATGATCAAAATTTGTACACTTGGCAACAGACTCATATTTATGACAGCTGCAGGGTACCAGGGACATGTAATCCTTTTGCAACCTTCTGACAAGCAAAGTCAAGGGAGAAGCCAGATTTGCTTAACAACCATGTTTCTCACTTAGCAACTCCAGTGATTCATTTAACTTCTGACCGTTACCATCTACTTCTGTCCTACTATCGCAGTACCATTGAGTGTCCTGACATACGGCATTCTTGCATGGTGTGGGAGCAGCTCTGTAGCGGACATAAAAGCTCTACAAAGAATCATTAAAGCTGCCCAGAATATCATCGGACTCCAGCTACCAGCCCTGGACAACATTTTTGAATCTTGCTGTTTGAGGAAGTTTCTCCGAGACTCTTCCCATCCTGCTTACAATCTTTTTGGACCGTTGCCTTCTGGCAGAAGAGACAGAACAATTCAAACTCGGACCACACGTCTTCTGAATAGTTTTTATCCCAGAGCTATAAGTGCACTCAACAATGAACTAAAGGGCCATTGTCAGTGAGCTGTTGGACAGCATTACTTGGTCTGTTGTGTGGATGCTTAGGTGGTTTAGGGGTGGGGAATTTTTGGTGGGTGGGGTGTGTTTGGGGATTGTCATGTGAGTTGGGTCGGGACTCTGGGTGTCATGTGAATTTCGTTGTATGGGTATACTGTGTATATATGTATAATGACAATAAACTTAAATTTAAACAACTGTGGCAAGCAAGATCATAAAATGCCAAAAAATATCAATTAACAGATATCTCGCTTAGCAGCAGAAATTTTGGGCTCAATTGGGGTCGTAAACTGAAGACTATCCGTATTGCCTTTCACATCTCCCATTTAAGCCTTCTTCCTGGTATCAGCACACACTTTTGTAAGAGTTACTTACAAAAGCTACAATCTTGAAACAAGTAGAAGAGAATGTGTAGGGTCCTTGATGTTCTCTGAGCTGGTGATTTTCTTGCAGATGTTTCATGACCCTACTACAGAACATCATCAGTGCTGGAAGAGTGGGATTTAGGAGGAGAAGGAGGAGGAAGGTGGATTCCTTGGTATTTCTGTGAGCTTGATGGTTTTTTGCAGATGTTTCATGACCCTACTAGGGAACATCCTCAGTGCTGGAAGAGTGGGGTTTGGGAGGAGGAGGAGGAGGAGGAGGAGGAGGAGGAGGGGGAGGAGGAGGAGGAGGAGAAGGAGAAGAGGAGGAGAAGAAGAAGAAGAAAAAAGGAGAAGGAGGAGGAGAAACAAGTAGAAGAGAATGTGTAGGGTCCTTGATGTTCTCTGAGCTTGGTGATTTTCTTGCAGATGTTTCATGACCCTACTAGGGAACATCATCAATGCTAGAAGGCAGTAAGTGGGGTTTGGAGAGAAGAGGAGGAGGAGGACTGAGAGGCCCTTGGTGCTCTTTGAGCTTGGTGGTTTTCTTGCAAATGTTTCATGACCCTACTAGGGAACATCATTAATGCTAGAATGGAGGGGTAATTGTGGAGAGGAAAAAGAGTACTGTGGGGTCCTTGGTACCCTTTGAGATTGGCTGTTTTCTTGCAGACATTTCATGACCCTTCTAGGTAATATCATCAGTGCTAGAAGGAGGTGGGGTCTGCTCTCTATATACAGCTGCCTATATAAACAGGGAGTCAACCTCTAACAACAGGGAACAAATGACAAACGGAAAACCAACGTGTTGTAACGCATCCTGCAAATCTTGCATTGCAACAGGACAATGCTGCTTGGACTGATTTAACCAAAAGCATGAGAGACAGGAAGTGCCACCAGGAAACCATTCACTAATTTTTTTCAGAAAAGCAGCTGCTTGGTCTTGCAACACAATGCAAGATTCATCACACCTGTGGAATGCCTCCTTTTCTGAGGAGTTGGGCAAAAGCCTCCATAGGAATCTTGGCTGCCCGGACTCGGGGTGGAGGGATGCTTCAGGGCGGCCGTGCCTTCTGGGCTCTGAGGAGCATCTTTACAATCACTTGCTGTCAGGTCCGGTTCCTTGAAAGAGCTCACTGACCCAGAAGAAAAAACAGAGAAAAATGGCACTGGGGACTGAAGATCTCCTAGTAAAAGACAAAACCAGGATCCCATTGCAACCCAGACCCTGCCCTCTGCAAACCGCAATTGATGGTTTAAGTGGGGCCACTGCCAATCCCCACAGAAGCCTCTAATCTCCTATCCCCCTTGTCTCCCTCAGGCTGCCCCATAGATCCCTTCCTATCCCCCTTCTCTCCCTGAGGCTGGCCCCATAGATTCTCTCCTATCCCCTTCTCTCCCTCAGGCTGCCCCCATAGATCCCTTTCTATCCCCCTCCTCTCCCTCAGGCTGCCCCCATAAACCCCTTCCTATCCCCCTTCTCTCGCTCAGGCTGCACCCATAGATCCCTTCCTATCCCCCTCCCTCAGGGTGGCCCCATAGATCCTCTCCTATCCCCCTTCCCTCCCTCCAGGCTGCCCCATAGATCCTCTCCTATTCTCCTTTTCTCCCTCAGGCTGCCCCATAGATCCTCTCCTATTCCCCTTCTTCCTCAGGCTGCCCCCCATAGATCCCTTCCTATCCCCCTTCTCTCCCTCAGGCTGCCCCCATAGATCCTCTCCTATTCTCCTTTTCTCCCTCAGGCTGCCCCATAGATCCTCTCCTATTCTCCTTTTCTCTCTCAGGCTGCCCCCATAGATCCCTTCCTATGCCCCTTCTCTCCCTCATGCTGCCCCCATAGATTCTCTCCTATTCCCTTCTCTCCCTCAGGCTGCCCCCATAGATCCTCTCCTATTCTCCTTCTCTCCCTCAGGGTGGCCCCATAGATCCTCTCCTATTCCCCTTCTCTCCCTCAGGCTGCCCCCCCCATAGATCCCTTCCTATCCCCCTTCTCTCCCTCAGGGTGGCCCCATAGATCCTCTCCTATTCCCTTCTCTCCCTCAGGCTGCCCCCCCCATAGATCCCTTCCTATCCCCTTCTCTCCCTCAGGCTGCCCCATAGATCCTCTCCTATTCCCCTTCTCTTCCTCAGGCTGCCCCCCATAGATCCCTTCCTATCCCCCTTCTCTCCCTCAGGCTGCCCCATAGATCCTCTCCTATTCTCCTTTTCTCCCTCATGCTGCCCCCATAGATTCTCTTCCTATTCCCTTCTCACCCTCAGGCTGCCCCCATAGATCCTCTCCTATTCTCCTTCTCTCCCTCAGGGTGGCCCCATTTCCTCTCCTATTCCCCTTCTCTCCCTCAGGCTGCCCCCCCCCATAGATCCCTTCCTATCCCCCTTCTCTCCCTCAGGGTGGCCCCATAGATCCTCTCCTATTCCCCTTCTCTCCCTCAGGCTGCCCCCCCCCCATAGATCCCTTCCTATCCCCTTCTCTCCCTCAGGCTGCCCCATAGATCCTCTCCTATTCCCCTTCTCTTCCTCAGGCTGCCCCCATAGATCCCTTCCTATCCCCCTTCTCTCCCTCAGGCTGCCCCATAGATCCTCTCCTATTTCCTTTTCTCCCTCATGCTGCCCCATGGATTCTCTCCTATTCCCTTCTCACCCTCAGGCTGCCCCCATAGATCCTCTCCTAGTCTCCTTCTCTCCTCAGGCTGCCCCCATAGATCCCTTCCTCTCTCCCTCAGGGTGGCCCTATAGATTCTCTCCTATGCCCTTCTCTAACTCAGGCTGCCCCATAGATTCTCTCCTATTCCCTTCTCTCCCTTAGGCTGCCCCATAGATTCTCTCATATTCCCTTCTCTCCCTCAGGCTGCCCCCTTAGATCCCTTCCTATCCCCGTTCTCTCCCTCAGGCTGCCCCATAGATCCTCTCCTATTCCCCTTCTCTCCCTTAGGCTGCCCCCATAGATCCCTTCCTCTCTCCCTCAGGGTGGCCCTATAGATTCTCTCCTATGCCCTTCTCTCCGTCAGGCTGCCCCCATAGATCCCTTCCTCTCTCCCTCAGGCTGCCCCACAGATTCTCTCCTATTCCTTCTCTCCCTCAGGGTGGCCCCATAGATCCCTTCCTATCCCCCTTCTCTCCCTCAGGGTGGCCCCATAGATCCTCTCCTATTCCCCTTCTCTCCCTCAGGCTGCCCCCCCCATAGATCCCTTCCTATCCCCCTTCTCTCCCTCAGGCTGCCCCATAGATCCTCTCCTATTCCCCTTCTCTTCCTCAGGCTGCCCCCATAGATCCCTTCCTATCCCCCTTCTCTCCTCAGGCTGCCCCATAGAGCCTCTCCTATTCCTTTTCTCTCTCAGGCTGCCCCCCATAGATCCCTTCCTATGCCCCTTCTCTCCCTCATGCTGCCCCCATAGATTCTCTCCTATTCCCTTCTCTCCCTCAGGCTGCCCCATAGATCCTCTCCTATTCTCCTTCTCTCCCTCAGGCTGCCCCCCATAGATCCCTTCCTATGCCCCTTCTCTCCCTCATGCTGCCCCCATAGATTCTCTCCTATTCCCTTCTCTCCCTCAGGCTGCCCCATAGATCCTCTCCTATTCCCCTTCTCTCCCTCAGGCTGCCCCCCATAGATCCCTTCCTATCCCCTTCTCTCCCTCAGGCTGCCCCATAGAGCCTCTCCTATTCTCCTTTTCTCTCTCAGGCTGCCCCCATAGATCCCTTCCTATGCCCCTTCTCTCCCTCATGCTGCCCCATAGATTCTCTCCTATTCCCTTCTCTCCCTCAGGCTGCCCCATAGATCCTCTCTATTCTCCTTCTCTCCCTCAGGATGGCCCCATAGATCCCTCTCCTATTCCCCTTCTCCCCTCAGGGTGCTCCATAGATCCTCTCCTATTCCCCTTCTCTCCCTCAGGCTGCCCCCATAGATCCCTTCCTCTCTCCCTCAGGCTGCCCCCACAGATTCTCTCCTATTCCTTCTCTCCCTCAGGGTGGCCCCATAGATCCCTTCCTATCCCCCTTCTCTCCCTCAGGGTGGCTCCATAGATCCCTTCCTATTCCCCTTCTCTCTCAGGCTGCCCCATAGATCTCTCCTATTCTCCTTCTCTCCCTCAGGCTGCCCCCCCATAGATCCCTTCCTATCCCCCTTCTCTCCCTCAGGGTGGCCCCATAGATCCTCTCCTATTCCCTTCTTTCCCTTAGGCTGCCCCCATAGATTCTCTCCTATTCCCCTTCTCTCCCTCAGGGTGGCCCCATAGATCCTCTCCTATTTCCCTTCTCTCCCTCAGGGTGGCTCCATAGATCCTCTCCTATTCCCCTTCTCTCCCTCAGGCTGCCCCCCATAGATCCCTTCCTATCCCCTTCTCTCCCTCAGGGTGGCCCCATATATCCTTTCCTATCCCCCTTCTCTCCCTCAGGGTGGCCCCATAGATCCTCTCCTATCCCCCTTCTCTCCCTCAGGCTGCCCCCATAGATCCCTTCCTATCCCCCTTCTCTCCCTCAGGGTGGCCCCATAGAGTCTCCCCTATTCCCTTCTCTCCCTCAGGTGCCCCCCCCCATAGATCCCTTCCTATCCCCCTTCTCTCCCTCAGGGTGGCCCCATAGATTCTCTCCTATTCCCCTTCTCTCCCTCAGGGTGGCCCCCCATAGATTCTCTCCTATTCCCTTCTCTCCCTCAGGCTGCCCCATAGATCCTCTCCTATTCTCCTTCTCTCCCTCAGGCTGCCCCCCATAGAACCTTTCCTATCCCCCTTCTCTCCCTCTGGGTGGCCCCATAGAGTCTCCCTATTCCCTTCTCTCCCTCAGGCTGCCCCCCATAGATCCCTTCCTATCCCCCTTCTCTCCCTCAGGGTGGCCCCATAGATCCTCTTCCTATTCCCCTTCTCTCCCTCAGGGTGGCCCCATAGATCCTCTCCTATCCCCTTCTCTCCCTCAGGCTGCCCCCATAGATCCCTTCCTCTCTCCCTCAGGCTGCCCCCATAGATCCCTTCCTCTCTCCTTTTCCTTCTCTCCCTCAGGCTGCCCCCATAGATCCCTTCCTCTCTTGCTCAGGCTGCCCCCATAGATTCTCTCCTATTACCTTCTCTCCCTCAGGGTGGCCCCATAGATCCCTTCCTATCCCCTTCTCTCCCTCAGGCTGCCCCCATAGATCCTCTCCTATTCCCTTCTCTCCCTTAGGCTGCCCCATAGATCCCTTCCTCTCTCCCTCAGGGTGGCCCTATAGATTCTCTCCTATGCCCTTCTCTCCCTCAGGCTGCCCCATAGATCCCTTCCTCTCTCCCTCAGGCTGCCCCCATAGATTCTCTCCTATTCCCTTCTCTCCCTCAGGCTGCCCCCATAGATCCCTTCCTCTCTTCCTCAGGCTGCCCCCATAGATTCTCTCCTATTACCTTCTCTCCCTCAGGGTGGCCCCATAGATCCCTTCCTATCCCCTTCTCTCCCTCAGGCTGCCCCCATAGGTCCTCTCCTATTCCCCTTCTCTCCCTTAGGCTGCCCCATAGATCCCTTCCTCTCTCCCTCAGGGTGGCCCTATAGATTCTCTCCTATGCCCTTCTCTCCCTCAGGCTGCCCCCAAAGATTCTCTCCTATTCCCCTTCTCTCCCTTAGGCTGCCCCATAGATTCTCTCCTATTCCCTTCTCTCCCTCAGGCTGCCCCCATAGATCCCTTCCTATCCCGTTCTCTCCCTCAGGCTGCCCCCATAGATCCTCTCCTATTCCCCTTCTCTCCTCAGGCTGCCCCCCATAGATCTCTTCCTATCCGCCTTCTCTCCCTCAGGCTGCCCCCATAGATCCTCTCCTATTCCCTTCTCTCCCTCAGGCTGCCCCCCCATAGATCTCTTCCTATCCCCCTTCTCTCCCTCAGGCTGCCCCCATAGATTCTCTCCTATTCCCTTCTCTCCCTCAGGCTGCCCCCCCCCCCGATAGATCTCTTCCTATCCCCTTCTCTCCCTCAGGCTGCCCCCATAGATCCTCTCCTATTCTCCTTTTCTCCCTCAGGCTGCCCCATAGGTTCTCTCCTATTCTCCTTCTCTCCCTCAGGCTGCCCCCATAGATCCCTTCCTATCCCCTTCTCTCCCTCAGGCTGCCCCCATAGATCCCTTCCTCTCTCCCTCAGGCTGCCCCCATAGATTCTCTCCTATTCCCTTCTCTCCCTCAGGCTGCC